TCTCATTGACTTTATGTCCTCAACACAATGCCAGCACCTTAATGAAATCTAAAACTCTTTCCAAATGCCCAAAGTATTTCAAGCAGAGACTGTAGTGTTCCTTCATTGAGGAAATCCCCAAGAACAGATATATATAACACTCCTTAAGGGACTTTAAGGAGGTTCTCAGTTTATACCTGAACTTTTCAGCTTTCAGATTTTTAGTACTTATTGCCATTCAAGAAAAACACAAAATATTTAAAGTTTAAAAAAAAATAAAAATTATCTGGAACAAACTACTGAAAATTTTATTAAATGAGGAGAGTTATTTCAAAAGCCTATCCTGTCATAATGTTATTACTAGCCTTATATCGGATAATGCAAAGTTTGCATAACTAACAGAAGTAACCTTCCATATGGATATTACAAACCTATCTTTATGCAAAAGCACTTTATCACCCAATTTTATTTTCCCCTCTTCCTTACAACTATGGAAAATCCCAATTACTAGATATAGTCTCAAGGAAAAAACACCTCTTAAGTACTTAAAACTACAGTTGTCCAAGTTACTTGTGCACACTTGTATTTAATCTTTCTGAATACAAGAAGCATTAATTAACAGTTTGTCAAGAAAACTATTTCTTGTCTAAATCTGAATTGCGTTACATAGCCTAAATCAAAGTCTCACACTTGGAAGGATATAAGATGACAAGACTTTCAGCAGTGTGGAAAAATTAAAGTTTAAAAACAACAACAACAAAAAAATCACATACAAGTTACTCTGTTACTATATTATTCTAGACAGAAATTGAAACATTTCACCTCTCTACTCAACCTGTCCATTACAATGCCTATCTTATCCTAGAACTCTATTATTTAAGTTCCTCATGGGGGAGGTGGGTAGGATGAAAGGCCAATACATGTGCACAGACAATTCTTTTGAAAAACCATAAGTTCTTCTTTACAACAGTTAATCATCAGAAGTAAGTGTAATGAAGACAGCAAGTGACAATTTCCTACAGAGTTTTCCCCCCATGAAGCAATAAAAACACCTCTGACACGTTCCTCCAACCCACCTTGTGTTCTGGATATAGTTCTACAGCAACAAAAGCCAGTTTCATAGTTAAACGTGTTTTGTGGACACGTGACCCTGAAATCATTACTGTCCTATGCAACAAGTTACAATACTTTAAAGAAATACTAGCTACTTCCTATCACAACTGGATGTATAACTCTGTATGACAACAATTCCTGGCAAATTATCTCAGTCCTCCCAGTCGACCTTAAAAAGAATACAAGAAGTCTATCCTGCAATCTAAGCCAACACTTTTTCAAACTATTTTATTCCATGCTCCCCCTATTACAGTGTCCTTCAAATGAGCTTCTACAGCTGCTTAAGTCCACTTTGTATGCAAGGGTGGCACAGGTTACATATCTTAGGGCAAGAATATCTGGGGAAATGCTGAATTCTCAGGTAGTACAGCACCCTCAGAACAAAACAGCTCCGATCCTCATCTTTTCCTGAACGCTTGTCCTGGCCTGAGTGTTGGCTGAACAGTTAGTAACTAGTAAAACTGTGAGCTGGGGTTAATTTCACATTTCTGTCATTATTCTATTACCCTACAAGTCTTCCCAGTATGTCAAAGAATTACTCGCACAACAGCACACTGCTCAATTTTAATAAGGACTAAATATAGGCTAGCACTTCAAGTGTTTACAGAGCGAGATCTGTTTGAAGTTTCAGTGTTAGAATCTCATGTTTGCACAAAGGCATCTTAAGACAAGGTAAAAAATATACATGTTAAAGAATTATGTACCCTGTGCCTTCACGACAGGGTCTCTGGAAAATCTGGGTAGCATCATTATCTTGCAAAGATACCATCCGATTCTTAAGTGTGTGTGTATGTGTATATACACATATATACACAATAAATATATTGTGCAGAGCACACTTTATTCTATACTGCTAGATGTTGGTTTTGACAATCAATTCCTGCTCAAGTGCAGTATGTTTTCATCTGCTATACCATTTCTCCAACAACGAGTCACAGGAGTTGTAGATTTTTATTTTTTTTTAAACAGGGTAGACCACAATCATTTAAAGAAGCACAAGAAAATTACACATCATGGTATCTCAAGCCATCAGAAGTACCTGCAGCATGGAAACCAAAACATCAGTATCTCTTTCTCCCATCATATGACAGGAATACAACCTATTAAGATATACTGGTTTTGAAGAGACTAATTTCTTTCTGTTCACGTGAAAGAAATACATAAATGCAACCTTCATGTGATGGGATTTTCTAGAATCTTGATTTTACAGTAGATGCATTTCCAATTCCAATGTACGACTGGGTTAAGAAACGTAGGAAAGAAAGGAGCAGTGCTTTGCCAAAAGAGCTTATTCAGCTCCATTTCTCATCCCTATTCATAGCTGAAGGATCCCTAGGAAGGGGAATGCACCATAGAATGAATGACCGATATTGAAGACCTGGATCTGGAACCTGGTTTAAGACTGAAAGCTTAAAAGCCAGCACTCATAAGTCTACTGTTAAAATTTTCTATATCTCTTTCATACCAAAGAAGTCCCAGGGTGCAAAGGTAGTCCTAAAAAAGTCACATCACTCTTAAGTCACTGCACTGATGTTTCCTTACCACTAAGGAAACTTTTCTAAGCATAGCAGTGTTGGACAAGACGTTACTTTGTACCAGCATTTCATACTGAAAATCCCTCAGAAGACAATTCACTGACATAACTTGCTTCACACCATCACCTTGCCTAAGCTATATGTAGCATAATACCTTGCTACAGGCTGTGCTTAAACTACACATGTAGATTGAAACAGCTATCCTGACACACTTTCTACATTTCTGATTATAAAAGCATCTACAAATTGTTTCTAGTACCACTGATGTTGCTCAAGACCTTTCATAACAGCAGTACAATGAAAACAAAGAGTTTATACAGAGGAATAAAAGCACTGAAGGTATTGCAAATAATATCCAGAACCAGATCAAGCTCCAGATACTAGATGCGCACACCAAGTAGAAAGGCAGACCCAAAATAAATCCAAGGAATACTCCAGTACTCCATGTGCTGTCCTTCTGCTGCAGAATTGGAATGTTAGGACTGAAACAGAAAACTATGATTTTTGCAGCCTGTGGCATTATACTGACTAAAGGTCTCTTTATCCTGCACAGGTAAACCATGCACGGACAGCAAATGAAACCAGACTACAGCAAATGTCCAGAAAATTACTTCTACTCAAATTTGCCTGACAGTTGTTCATTAGCCCCTCAAAATATAACTTTGTCTTCCACGCTTTTCAAGCAGAATGTTGGATCTCACTACAAAACACAAACTCCTATTTTTATACAGGATCTGGGGCAAAACCAGCACTAACTAATGGGCCCTTTCAAACCAATAACCTGTGCCTGATGCTACAACAACATACCTTTAGACTGCCTCTGATCTGTGCTATCTTAACACACTACAACGATATCCGAGGAATTATTAAATACACCCAAGTATTCAAGGTGTGAGAAACAACCTCAAAAAGTGACCTCCTCCTATAAGGGCTGCTTTAGTTGTAGCAAAATGCAGACACTTTACAGCCAGAGGCACAGAAAGTAGACCAAGCCTGTGAACAAAGCCTTACGTGGAACATCCCTGCAGGCCAGAGTCAGGGTTGGCTTCTTACCTCAGAGTCACAAACTCACAGATAAAAACAAAAGACAACTTAGCAGCTCTAGCTCTACAATTACTAGGTGTCTGGGACAGAAGCTAGAAAAAGAAATATAAGGAGAAGCAAATAAGTTTAGTGCTTGAAAGGAGGAGGAAAGACCACTCCCAATAAAAGTATATATCACTAATTAAAATCCCCACCTTACAAGCAAGATTTTTCTTAACTTCAAGTGATCCAAGTCACTAACTTGCATATGCCTAGAAAATTGCTTTTCTTATTACGTGCAAGTGTCACATAAATTTTACATTGTACCAAACCACAGGCTACAACCACAATTGGGCCCCAGTCTGACAGAACTCCAAGAGAAACATCAAGCCAAAGCAACAATTTTCCCAAGAGTATATACATGCTAGAGAAGTCCTCTTAAATAAAAAACAGTAACTTAATCTCAAAGTTTTAACTTGTCATCGATGGCCAGCTGACTATACTAGATACAGCTGCATGAACATCCAGATACTCTAGATGGGTGTCTCTGGATACTATACACCAATTTCTAAGCATCTTTTCTTGGATTGTATGTGACGAAGCTCATCAGCAAGGACTCACTGCCATGACATTCAACTGGTCCAGGAGGGAAGTCTCAAGACTGAAGTTCTCAGCACAAACCAAGAAAGCTTATAGGCACCAGTCCAGCTGCCTCAATTCGACTGAATAGATTACCTAATTCATTACAAATGTAAAATTGAACACACCTGCTAAAAATGCTACCACCTATTCAAGTTTTACAGGAAAAAGAGAATATTTTTGAGTCCCTGTTACTTTGTATTTGCAAAGACTTCGTATAGCACAGAGATGACAGAAATACTTTGTCTGACATTACACATATACCCTTCGTTCAGATTCTCAGCTTTCTTGGAGAGGCAGCTGAATTAAGGTCAAGTACGGAAATCCAAGTCAGAAGAACAGAAAGAGAGCCTGAATGTAAATGTAAAGCTTTAGCACAGTAAGGCAGATGTGTCAGATTATAATGCACTGTGTTTGGCTACAAAATAGTGCTGCTAAAGAGCAGTTCCCAAATGCCCTTATTTCAGCCACACAGTACTAAAAGTAGAAGTCCTCTTAGCCTGATGCATCCATGTAAAATCACCAATACTCCACAAGCTCAAAACAACTACAGCACTTCATTCGATTAAGTCCCTTACAGTAGACCTGCCCCCAGCTCTGACCTCCAGTATAAAGTGAAACTTTAAATTCGGAACCATCACAGTACATATCAGTATCCTCCTTTTCCATTCACAGAATAAATTAAATCTAAGTTGGTCAAAGTATTTTTACCTAGTCGCATCTTCGACATCTTGTTTTTCCTATATTCTACAGTAATTGCTCTGAACCCTACCAGGGGAACAGTTAAAGCCTTATTTCCTTTACCTCCTCTCCTTATTGTTGAAAAGAAAAAAAATTAAATTAGTTTAGAAATATAACCTCAAAAATGCAAAACAAATATAGAACACATCATCCATGCACGCCTTCATCTGCAAACACTATGAAGCCATACTTAAAAAGAATGGCATCATTCATCTCAATCAAGACCCTGGGAACTTGACAGTTCCCCAGCCATATAGTCTGGCATATTTCCACAGCAGTTCCACAAAATGGAGCATTTTGGAACAAGGAATCCAGTCTAGTCTTGCTACAACCTGCCCATCAGCACTTCCTGCTTTCCAGCGTCCTCCCCAAAAGGGAAGTTAATTTATTATGGGTATATTCCAGGAGTTATTCCGCAAAGTTCACTACAACAGTTACAGACACCTTCCTCCTTCTTCTGTGGTTTCCCACCTTTCCTGTGACAAGCTCAGGACAATACCCATCAAAATCTTTCTCCATTGTGAAAGCAGCGACCCTTCTTGCTAGGTGAAGTATTGTGGGATCCTGAAATAATTCTGAAACCAATTACTAATTATTTTATGAAAAGCCCATTAAATTCTTCACAAGTTTACAACTTTTATGTATCAGACTGAGTGTTAGAGTGAACTGCAAAAACTGCCGAGGCCCAGGACAGAGACCATCAGCGACTGCCAGTACCAATACAGGAAATCAAAGCAACCTATCATGGGACATATGAGAGAGAAATTCATAATATGCCTAAGTTGGTTTTAAACACAACTCATGATTCTTAACCCAGCAAAATACAAGTCACAGTTTTGTCTTCTAGACAGGTTATAAAATTTGCCTAGAACAACAGAGAAGGTTCAAGACAAAACAGCATCATTGTCATCCACTGGTAAGCTATTCAAAGGAAGGAAAAAAGTCTTTGTAGCTTTCTAACTGGTTACTGCTGTAGTGATGATACAGGACATGTTGCAGACTAAGAACCTGTTGCATGCAAACCCCTTTGCGTACATTATTTCATTCAGTAGGAAGTCCTCCCAGCAAAAGGGATGCCAGTGAAACTGGAAAAGGTTCCTCTTGAGGCCCTAAAGGTTTAAATACTAAGCATCTGTCAATAAAAGAATCCAAATACATTGCTTCTTACTATATGGGCAAAGATACAGCAGAAAGCAGCAGTTCCATTTCCTGGAGTTCACTGGGTTTTCCGTGACAGGATTTGGCACAGTTTGCTAAACATCAGATAACTTCCCATGTATACATACTTTGGCCTAAATTATAAGCAAAACCAACATATAAAATTACGATGTCGAATTCATTCTGTATGAGTCCAATATTACAACATCAAAAGTACTTCTCCTAGCAGTATTGCACTTAGCATACCCTATTTGGCCTTTAAAAAAAAAAAGATTAAAAAAACCCACTTCAATACTATGTCCTGTATTTTGTCCAATCAGCTTTTCATTTTGAGAATGAAGCTTTTTATCACTGTCATGGAAGTTATGTTTTGATCTCCCAGCTTTGTAAGGTACATAGCATAGTCCTGACAGCAAAGAGGAATTTTTATTTAAAAAAAAAAAAAAGAAGAAGAAAGCACTGAAGCACTGGATGCAGACACTCTGACATGTACCTTTAAATAGAAAAATTAACCAAATTTCAGGAAAAGACACAGAAAAGGCAGAAAAGACCTCCACACAAAACTGATTCTGCTGTCTTACCTTACAGCCTGATGATGAGTTAATATTATTTGGACAAACTTCAATTATTTCATAAATGAGAAAACTATCATTTAGTCTTAAAGGAAATACAGATTTGACTGACAGTTCTCCATTTTTCAGAAGGTTACTTTTATAGAAACTAAGAAAAAAAACTCAAAGAAGGCTGATGGAGCAAGTAACTTATGAACAATTCAGAAATGTTCTTGGGAAGACAAAAAAATTGGGAAAGAGGCCTAGGTCCAAAAATAAAGGAAGTACGGGTTTCACTCCCAGTTTTGATACTTTCTGTGGAACAGCAGCCAAATTACCTAATCCCTGTGCTTCAGATCTCTCCTTCCACACTGCTCCTCCTCCTCCTCTCTGAACATATTGTCTATTTCAACTCTTCGGGGCTAGAAATGAATCTCAGTACACATTCAAACCAAACCTAACAAAATTCAGTCTCTGATCAGTAACTCATACGATTGAGAGGACGTATTTTTTAGTCTGTGCTTTCAAGACAAAGAGGAAAATAAGCAAGAAAATCGAAGGAAGTCAGCATTACCTAATAAGAGACAAATAAATGTGAAGTACATGACTATTTAGAGAGACTGGGCCGGGGGGGGCCGAGGGGGGGAATCCGACTAATCTGACCGGAAAGGAGGGAAGCGCCGTCTGCCCTGAAGAGCCTCCACCCAGGAACGGGAGTCCCGGTGATTCACAGTCAAAATAAGAAAAAGAAAAATCACGCCGAGGTCTGTATCGACTAGAACGGTAGCCACTACAGAGAGAAGGTATGTGGGTAAGCACCCGGAGAGAACAAGCACGCAGTTCGATCTGGAGAGACCGAGATACCGACAGCGGGATATCGCTCAATGCCACCGGCACAAGACGTGACCTAGCGGACGGGAGCCCCATCCACCCGCCGTGCCCTTCCCGACGCTTCGGCGAGGGGAGACCGCCGAGCGCGGCGCGGAGCCCTGCCCGCAGCACGGGGGAGGGAGGGACGGGGGTTTGGAAACCCGCAGTCCCCTCGCTCCACCACCGCCGCCGCGCCTGCAGAGCCCCGGGCCCCAACCGGCGGCACCTCGGGCCGAGGCCCCCCCCGGCTGCCCGGCCCCCAGGCTTCCCCTCGCAGGCC